CGTGCATACTCCCTGATGTAGATGATTCAAGTTTAAGGTCTACAGAGTGGCGGCTTCTTTGCCTCCCCCACCCCTCAGAGCCTGGTCCTGAGCAACTTGCCTGTCTCCCAGGACAGTTTTCCCATCTTGCCTTTTAGCATCAAGAAAAGCAGGTAAATGGAAATTCGAACTCGAAGGCAACAACCACCCACGGAGCTCTTTGCAGTTGGCAAAAGCCATTTTTACGCAGCCCCATCTTTGTGCTTTCCCCAAGTCTCTGTAACGTACTAAGCCTGAAAGAAGGTTTCCCATGGACGGGGGTATCTGAGCTGCCTCAAAGGATGTGAAATCAGTCTTCGAGAGGAGTACAGAGCCTGTTGGATACTTCTCATTTTCTATATCTGTAATTAAATTACTGGCACTCAATGAGGATAATTTTTGTTTTAAACATAATTGTGGACTTCTCTGGTGGCGCAGTGGTTAAGAATCCGCCTGCCAACGCAGGAGACACGGGTTTGATCCCTGGTCCAGGAAGATCCCACATGCCTCGGAGCAACTGAGTCTATGCGCCACAACTACTGAGCCTGTGCTCTAGAGCCCGCGAGCCACAACTGCGGAGCCCATGTACCTAGAGCCCGTGCTCCACAAGAGATACCACCGCAGGGAGAAGCCCACGCACCGAAATGAAGGGTAGCCCCCGCTCGCCACAACTGGAGAAAGTCCACGGGCAGCAACGAAGACTCAATGCAGCCAAAAATAAATAAATAAATAAATAAATAAAACATAATTGTGCCAGTACCAATAAAACTCCCCACCCCCAAAACTCTCAATGCTGGATCTCAAATTTTCCTCCAGCCTCAGATGTCAAAAAAATATATGTCATGCTTTGGGCACGTCCAACATCATATCCTCAAATGGCTTTGGTTGGCTTGATTCTAATCCTAATTAAACCAGCGCCATTTTGTCTCTAATAACCCACTCAGATGACTCAGTTCAGCACTAGTTTGGTTTGAAAGAATGCCAACTAGCCTGGGAGACAAAAGAGAACTTGGGGGGATGATTTTAGGCTTCGCAAAAGGATCCTTTACTTCCCCCAAGTGATCAGCTTAATGACGAGCTTTCCTGGGGAGTAACAAAAATATTGTTTTGAAAAATAACCAAAACAAAAAATTAAATTTGCTCGTAATTCCACTGGTTCAAAAGTATTTCATAAAGAGGCAAGTTTCTCCCTTCACCTGATTCCTTTCTTCAAAGTAAACCACTAGGGCTTCCCTGGTGGCGCAGTGGTTGAGAGTCCGCCTGCCAATGCAGGGCACACGGGTTCGTGCCCCGGTACGGGAAGATCCCACATGCCGCAGAGCGGCTAGACCCGTGAGCCATGGCCGCTGAGCCTGCGTGTCCGGAGCCTGTGCTCCGCAATGGGAGAGGCCACAACAGTGAGAGGCACGCATACCGCAAAAGAACAAAAAAACCAAAAAAACCCAGTAAACCACTAATGAAAAATTGTTGCATATTACACCCAATTCGTTGTTGGGTTTACGCAGACATATCTAAGTGCACATATATCCAAAATGGCAGACCACTGCCCTAGACCTTGCTTATTTCCCTTCACACTCATGGATGTTTCCAAGTCAGTACATGTACATATAACATACTATTTTTAGAGGCTGCACGTTATTCCACTGCATGAACACATTATAATAGATGCAACCATTTTTCTATGGATGGGCATTTAGATTATTTATAATATTTTTGTTATTGAGGACAATGCTGCAATACAGGTTCTTGTTTATGTATTTTGACGTATTTATTTTATTATTTCTTGTAGGATGGAATTTGAAGACTGGGATTGCCTTTACTCTTGGGACTGGAATGCCAGTGGTGTAGGAGAGGGTCGTGTCCCCCTGCCCCCCTCCCCCTCCGCCCCCCACCCCCGGGCCTTGCCAACACTTGGGCCAATCTGCTAGACCAAAAAATGCTAATCTCCTTGAGATTTAATTTGCATTTCCCTGACTACTAGTGAAGCTGAGCATCTTTTCATATGTTTATGGACAATTTGCATTTCCTATTCAGTAAATTACCTAGTCTTATCCTGGACCCATATTTCTATGGGGTTGTTTTTCTATTCAATGTGTAGGAGCTCTTTGTGTACATGGGATTTACTCTTTGTCTCTTATGGACGAGGAAAGTAGTTTTCTATCACACTGTTGTGTTTTGACTTTGTTTAGGATATGTTTTAAGTGTAATTAAAAATTTTTATTATTGTCAAATATGTTAAAATTTTTCTTTCATGTTTCGGGGCTATCTGTCTTAGAAAGAATTCCACTCTCTAATTTCTTTGCTTGTATAACCTTACTTTTTCCAATTTAAAACGTCAATTTAGGTTTTTAAAATTAATTAATTATTTAGTTGCTTAATTGATTCATTAGTAATTGGGTAAGTCAGGCAGCTGGCTTTACTTTATTCTAAATGAAGAGTCAGGAATTTTAAAAGCATTTAATCAGCAAAAATGTACACTTTGGAGGGAGGCAGGGAGGGACCCAGTAAAGTTCCTAGGAGAAACCGTGGTCCTTGAAGCTGGACCCAGAAGATCTTTAACTCACCATCTGGGAAAAGCATCTAGAGGTTTTTGATCTCCCAGGCCAGTCATGGGTTGGACCCCTCTGAATGTGTGTGTGCATGTGTGTGTGTGCGTGTGTGTGTGCGTGTGTGTGTGCGCGTGTGTGCGTGCGTGTGTGTGCGTGTGTGTGCGTGTGTGTGAGAGAGAGATCTGGTTTTGTTTTATAAAGAAAGGATTTGTAGACGAAAACATTGTCCTCCCTCAAAAATCTCCCCATTTATAAACCAAATTCTGTGTACAACTCTGTTCTGTCTGTTGGTCCATTTTAGGTGTGTCCCCCTCAGCCCATGATGAGCTCATTCAGGCTGTGCCTTTACTCTGTTCTGAATCGGGACAGTGGATGCCGGCTGAACTTGTCTTCCAAGTCTTCTCAAGATGTATTTCGTGTGTGTCCGCATAGTCTAAGAGTGTTTCAACATTTTTAAGAGGAATTTGCAGGCTTCTCTACAAGCAAACAAGGAACCTGCAGTAGCAAGATTTCTCCATGGACAAAGTCTTTTATCTTTCCATTTGCAAATGAAAGTACCAATAAATACTTGTAAAATTTTATCATTCTGTTAAACTTCAAATTCAGACTTGTCAGTAATTACTGGTTTGCATTAAGAGCATGAGATTAGAGATTGAGGTTCAGGAAGAATACAAGATTTGCTTGGAGGCACACAGAGTAACCGGGTCTCTTGTCTTCTCATTTTCTGCTGCACTTTGTCCCTTGACAAAGGACGAATGGTGTGGTAAAGGGCACAGGTCGGGTCAAAGAGGACAAGGTAGGACTTTTAAATGTAGCGACTAGGGTCATCCTGGCCTATTGTGACAGTCCCCCTGCCCTTTCGGTAAAAAGGTGGGGCACGCAATTCTGAGAGCACTTCCTGGGGCTGCTGCTGAGGACCTGAAGGTCCTGGCGTGGCATTCATTCCTCTTTCCCTCTATTGCTGATAAACAGAAACTCCCTTCAAAGAGCTGGCTTTGCTTCAGAAGGACTCATTCAGGCCTCTCTGCCTTGAACAATATCGTTGAGTACGTAGGTACACAGGTATCTGCTTTGCTCCAAGGATGCCCCCTGGAGCAAAGCAGACATAGATGGAGTGAGGAAGACAGAGCCTGTTTCCACTCGGTGTCTCGGGAGAAGCGGGCATTAAACAAACTCTCCCAGGCATATATCATTACAAATGAAACTAAGTGTTCTGAAGGAAAATCCAGGATGCTTCGGGAGAATACAGCGGGAGAGCATGGTTTAGATTAGGGGGTTAGGGAAAGGCAGAAGTGGGAGTGTGAAAGGCTTTTGCAAAGGTTTAGAGCTTTACATACGGGAAGGAAATAATAATAATAAAGGTGTTTGGAAGGGCAGCTCATCCTCATTCATGGGCCACTTCCTAGGACTCTGGGAACCTGCCTCTCTCCCCCGAATTATGTAGGCATCCAGGGTAAGGACTGGAAGAGCCTTCACAAATGCTAATAGGTGAGCGTTTTACAGGCTGCCCCCTGACCCTCTGCATCCTCATCCGTAACTAGTTTGAATGAGGAGGTGAATGGCGAGGATGACTGGCATTTCCAGTTTGGGAAAAAGGAGGTGGAGAAGTTTTCCCACCCCAGTGAGGGCGCAGGGGAGGGGGCAGGTTTCTCTACCCCAAAGAGGAACGTTTTTCCCGAGGAAATCCCACTTCATCGTGTATCTGGTTGTGAAGGGGGCTGAGATTCGGGTTGTTCCCGGGGAGTTTTGGTTCTGGAATCTCTGACCCTATCACCCCTCCGCCCCCCAACACACCTGCAGGAAAGCTTGACCAGAGTGAAGTTAGGATCTGAAAGTGGTGGTGGGATGGGAGAGGGGGTGGGGTGTTAATTTCCCCGGAAGAATCGATCAGGATCTGGTAATAACAATAGCTGACACTCAACACCCATCCTGTGCCGGGCACCGTCCTGAACGCTTTCAAAATATCTTAAAACAACCCTGTGAGGTAAGCACCGTCACTAACTCCATTTCACAATTGAAGAAACCAAGGTACATCGAGGCTGAGCAGAGATGGCAGCTTGCCCCTTTGCCTGCAACAATCTGAAGCCAAGGTTTCTGAGCCAGGGTTTGGGCTGCAGGAGGTGTGGATCGCCGACTCCAACAAGGACCTGATCCGCCTCCCCATAATTCGGGAAATAGCTGGTTTTGAAAGGCTAACTTGGGAGCCCGTGGGAACGGCTTCGGGAGCCTCACGCCCATCCCCTTCGGAAGCCGAGGCGAGCCGGCACCCCCCGCGCGGTGGTGAGGACGGGTTGACAGCGCGGCGGGAGGGCTGCCCGTGGCCCCGGTTGGACCCCCGAGACCAGGCCCCGCGGCTCCGCTTTCTGCGCGGCCTCCGCGAGGTGTCGCCTTCGGCCGAAGAAACCACAGCGGCGCCACCCTCGTAGCCCGCAGTTATTTATTTATTTTCAAACAAGGGGGCGCCCCTCTCCTTTCAATTTAAAACTAGAAACCTCCCGCGGTTTCGTTCTTAAATGGGCGCGTCCTCTCCCTCCCACTGTGCACCCCGGGTCCAGCTTCCCTTCCGAGATCACACACGAGCAACACCCCTCCCCCGCCCCCCGCACGGCCAGGCTGGACGTCGGCCTCGCGCTCAGCAGCACATACACGCAGTCGAGGCGGGGGCTGGGTTAGGAGACTCTGAACACCCCCGGAGCCCTCCGGAAATTTTTCTTTTTTACGCCGAGCAATTGCCAGGCCCGCAGGGTGGGTGTTGCATTGCACCGCTCGGCGCGCAGCTGGTCCACAGAGTGCACAGGGGGCGAGCTCGGGGGTCTAAAAGGGCGGGAGGAGCACGCCCCGGGCTTCCCAGCTTTGCAGCCTCCTCTCCGCAAAGAAGAAAAGCAAGTGGCTTTTGGCGCGAAAGCCTTGGCGCCTCCCCTGATTTTTATGGAAATCAAGAGGGCGGGGTAAAGCCGCTTTCCTCTGCCTTTCTCCCTCCCCCTTGTCTGTGCCGCAGCCCCCTTCTCTCCCCGCCCCCCGGGTGTGTCAGATTTTTCAGTTAATAATATCCCCCGAGCTTCAAAGCGCAGCCAGTGACAGTCATCTGTCTGGACGCGCTGGGTGGATGCGGGGGGCTCCTGGGAACTGGGTTGGAGCCGAGCTAGCGCTAGCCAGGCGCAAGCGCGCACAGACTGCAGCCACCCGAGGACCACCCCCCGCCCCTGGCCACCCGGGGACCCCGGCACAGAATCGCCTCCGGATCCCCGGCCGTCGGCGGGAGGTAAGGAGCGGGGGGCGCAAAGCGCCCGGCGCCCCGGGAGCGGCGAACGCGGCGGGAAGGCAAGCCCTGGACGGGATCGCGGCTGGCGCACAGGGCGCCCGACTGTGCCTGGGGGGACTGTTTCTGCTTCCGAAACAAAACCGTCTCGGGGTTTTCCCTGAAAAGCCAGTTCCAGTCCCCAAGGCTCCCGGACTGGGAGAGACCCGCCCTAATCCATCTAGTGCCCTTGCCAGGGGTTGTAATGGCTTCATCGAAAAGAAATTCACCCTTCTCTAGAACATTTGTCTGCATTTGAGCTGACGGGGAGCCGGTGCGTCCCCACCCCGAAGCTGGGTTCTCCTCCAAAGGGTGCCCCCAGAGGAAGAAGAAGGGGGTTAAGCAGGGCGAGGCCGTCGCGGTGGTAATCTGGGTCACTGCCGCCCCGGCTCAGAGGAGACGTGGCTCTCCCTGCGACCCTCCCCGCGCTGGTGTCCCTGAACCATTCCCGGGGACTGGGGTCCAGGCTCTACCAGGAAGAGGATGTCGTTGGGGGCTTGGAAGAGCGGGGGTGGGGGTAGAGAGGTTCAAAATCAGCTATTGACAGTACTTTCCCTGCAGCGGGTGAAGGCTGGGGACGTCGGATCAAAATTTGGGGGAGGGGGTTCTGGATTTGGGTGCCTGTTGTTGGTCTCGGTCTAGAGAAAGGGTTTTTCCATTTGCAAAGTTTCCTAAACCCCCCCCCCCCATCGCTTGCGCTCCCGAGGTTGCAATTTTACAAAGGAGGGGAGTGGTTTGAGGGTTCTCCAGAATCCTAGACCCGGTAGCTGGGTTGGAGTCCTGGGCTTCCTGGGAGCAGCGGGCCCTACTTGGGTGCAACCGCGGGTGTCGGTGAGCTGGTGGGAGCTAGAATTCTGCAGCCTTGGGCAGCCCCCTCCCCCGGGCAGTGCCTTGTGTGAATGAAACGGCAGTTTGCAAAGTTGCAGAGCTACGCCGCCACCCCCCGCATCTGCATGCCCCCTCCCACCCCCTGTCGTAGACAGCATGTACACAAAAGGAGGGAGGGAGAGAGCGAGAGACACAACTTCCTCCACCTTCGGGAGCCCTGGGCGGAGTGGGGGGCTTGGAGGGGAGATTGAGGAAGCGGGTGAGAGGGGGTGACCGCTGCCCGTCCCCACCCCTCGCGCCCCCCATCCGGCTCCGCTTGCCAACCCTCTCCTGGTGTGTCTGTCGGTTGCAGTGTCGGAGGTTGGCGCGGGCCCCCGCCCTCCGCGCCCCCCACGGGAAGGAAGCACCCCCCGAACTAAAAGAGCGGAGCGGAAAGAAGCCCTCATTCGGCGGCCAGGAGGCGAGCCGATGCCGAGCTGCACCGCGTCCACCATGCCGGGGATGATCTGCAAGAACCCGGACCTCGAGTTTGACTCTCTGCAGCCCTGCTTCTACCCGGACGAAGATGACTTCTACTTCGGCGGCCCCGACTCGACCCCCCCGGGGGAGGACATCTGGAAGAAGTTTGAGCTGTTGCCCACGCCCCCGCTGTCGCCCAGCCGTGCCTTCCCGGAGCACAGCCCGGAGCCCCCGAACTGGGCCACCGAGATGCTGCTGCCCGAGGCCGACCTGTGGGGCAACCCGGCCGAGGAGGACGCGTTCGGCCTGGGGGGCCTGGGCGGCCTCACGCCCAACCCGGTCATCCTCCAGGACTGCATGTGGAGTGGCTTCTCGGCCCGCGAGAAGCTGGAGCGCGCGGTGAGCGAGAAGCTGCAGCACGGCCGGCCGCCCGCCGCGGGGCCCGCGGTCCCGGCCCCGGGCGCGGGCGCCACCGGCCCCGCGGGCCGCGGGCACAGCGCAGTGGCTGCGGGGCCGGGCCGCGCCGGGGCCGCCCTGCCCGCCGAGCTCGCCCACCCGGCCGCCGAATGCGTGGATCCCGCCGTGGTCTTCCCGTTCCCGGTGAACAAGCGCGAGCCCGCGGCGGCGCCCGCCGCCCCGGCCGGTGCCCCAGCGGCGGGGGCCGCGGTCGCCTCGGGGGCGAGCGCCGCAGCCCCAGCGGGCGCCCCGGTAGCCGCTCTTCCACGCACCGGCGGCCGCCTGGCCAGCGGCGGTGACCACAAGGCCCTCAGCACCTCCGGAGAGGACACCCTGAGCGACTCAGGTAAAGAGCGAGCCAGGGTCCGGCTGCCCTCCTGGGGTACTGGGGCTGGGGGTGGTGCCGGGTTTGTCGTTCGTGGGTTAGGGTGCTGGGGGAGAGTCGTTTGGAGGTAGTGCTGGTGGCTGAGAAGTGGTTTTTCCCGGGCCGATCTCTAGGGTACGGAGGAGAGGGTGGGTGAAAGCTGTGATCTCCAGCTTCACCTTCCCTAAAGTTCCCTCATCCCCCGCCGGGAGCCCGACTCCATCACTGGCCCCCACCCCGTACCCCGTCTCTCTCTGCAGCGCCCTCCGAGGAAGAAAATGAGAAAAAGTTGAGTGGCTAAAGCCGAGTTGGGGTTCGGGGGGCCGCTGGGGTGGAAAGGGACTCTGCGGCCCGGGTCAGGGGTGGGGAGACGCCCCGAAAAGCACAAGCCTGTGCAAAGTGCTATTTAGGGTGCAGGAAGTTAGGGAGGGATTGCACAGATGGTGAGCACCGATTGTATTTTATTTTTTCGAACCTCGGTACCTTTTTTTTTTTTCCCCTCCCTCGGTGGGTGGTGGGCTATTTGCTCCTGGTCCGTCGCCAGCAGGCGGCGATATGCTGGCCGGCAGGCGGGCGAGGATCTGAGAGGCTGGGGGTGGTAGGGACATCCCTCCCTCCCTCCCTTCACTCAGCAGCTGGCCAGTACCACAGCGGTTGTGTACATTCTCAAGGGGCCGCCTCTTTACAGTGTGCAGTGAGCACCGCCCGGTTTTATCTTCTAGCCAGAGTTCCAGGACTAATTTCAGATCCGAGCTGTGTTCTGTAACCCAGTGTCCTTCAAGGTGAGGGCGGGCACTTAGCAGGCCCTCCAGGAATGCACACACCCTGAAGCACTCATTGATTAGTTCTATTGTGTGCCTCCTGGTGAAACTGAAGAGCAGGGTTAAAACCAAGACGTTGCCTGAAGGTGAAGAACTCTGCCCAAATCCTGGAATAGCCCTTGTCCTTGGAGCTGGGAGACTTGGACCTTGAAAACCACTGTTTTCAGAATGCAGATGGATAAAAAGCCTACATTTCCTTCAGGGCTGAGGACAGATTCATCTGAGGCTCCTGAAAGGAAACTTGGGGATAAGCCTTCAGTTTGAACGGGTCTCTGTCCCTTTAATGTCTGTGCCTTGACAGCTTTTGGTGAGGAAGCACTTCCTTCCAACAGCTGTCTTCTTGGCAGAAAACCAAAACATTGGCTTAAAGGGACCCACCGACTGGAACAGCCTCACATTTCGGCTTTAGCACAAATCCCACAATTGTTCAGCTTTCCGGTCCCCTTCAGATCAAGCAGAAGATGTGTTTTGATTTTCATGCTTGCATTTTAAACAATAATTTTCTATCCGAGCATGGTAGTAAATGAGGAGAGAGGGGGAAAACGCACACATGATGCTACACGTTTTTCTGGCTGCTGCGGGTGGTGGTGACTTTGAGAAGAGGTGCCCCGTATCTGGGTTTAGAGCTCCAGTGGATTACGGCTCTGTAGTTAAGGTTTGATCTTTGTTAAGATGAAAAACTGCTTACTGTATAGAAGTCACGTTCATGGAAGACGAGGTATTTTTCTTCCTTAGTGAATTAAATTGTTCTTCAGTTTGTTTCACTTAAAATCAAACTCCACCATGTGTAAGTGGCTAACTGAGGCTCCTAAAATGAGGAGGCCTCAGTTCTTAAGTGTAGAGATGGAAATATAAATAAGTCTATGGGGCAGACTAGCGATGATGGGAAAGGGTTACCGTTTACTGAGACTCTTGTCTACGAATTATCTGTCCAACTCAACCTATGGCATTATCCCCCATTTAATAGCTGGGGAAACTGAGGCTTAGAAAATACCTTGCCCAGGGTCGTGCAGCTAGTGTGTGTGATGGAGCCGGGATTCTGTCTAACTCCAAAGCCGAGGTTCTTTCTGTTTCTGCCACCTGCTCAAGCTTGAATGGAAGATGAAATACTAGGAGTATGGGGAGGGAAAAAGCATGTACAGCTCTCTGCAGAGACCTGTGCTGATGGATCACAGTAAGAGCAAACCACGGGCCAGGGCCTGCTCTACGAGACTGTATGTGTATTTAATTCATACGTGCCTCATCCTGAGAATAACCCTCACCTTGTTCTCAAAGATGACGAAGATGACGAGGAGGAAGACGAAGAGGAGGAAATCGACGTAGTGACTGTGGAGAAGCGGCGGTCCTCCTCCAACAGCAAGGCCGTCACCACCTTCACCATCACCGTGCGTCCCAAGAGCGCGGCCCTGGGACCTGGGAGGGCCCCGTCGGGTGAGCTGATCCTCAAGCGCTGCGTCCCCATCCACCAGCAACACAACTACGCCGCCCCGTCTCCCTTCGTGGAGAGCGAGGATGCACCGCCCCAGAAGAAG